CGTTCAGATTCTTCACATTGGGTCCCCTGCCTAGGGTCAGCCCCTGCCCTCTCTCTGTTACCCTGGTGTGATGTGGATGGGGGTAGAGGGAGGTCAGATGAGGGAGGCGTTCTGCCTGGGGGCAATGGGGCAGCTCCAGTGTAGAAGTGGCACCAGATCGGGGCCTTTAATTATGAATAGGGAGCCAGCAGGCAGAGGTATGGAGGTAGGAAAGAGTGCGTTTGATGAGAGGAAGTTCACCTGACATGAGGTCAGTGTGGAATGTGTGCAGGGGTCAATTCCCAGAGCGCCTCATGTGCAGGCAAATGGGCATGACCTTGATCTGCAGGTAGTAGGGAGCCAAGGAAGGTTTGGAGCAGGTTGCCCAGCTGGCCTGCTCTTCAGGTGCTGTGGAGCACCTGTCTGAGGCTGAGACCAAGGGCACAGAGACCCATAGGGGGACTGGCAGCAGTCCCATGAGGAACAGGGTTGAATCAATCAGTTCAGCAGACGGTGATCAGGATCTGCGTGGGCCAGGCCTCGTTCTGGGTGCTGGAGACAAAGAAAAGGTGAGGACAGGCCCTGACCTCAGTTGAGCTCACAGCCCAGTAGGGGAGGCAGTCACAGAAACCTGTGCTAGGGGGAGCCTCGGGGCATCAGGGAGGCACCTAAGCCAGCGGGAGTGCCACAAGCCTTCCCGGGGAAGTGATGTCTGAGCTGGGCATGAAAGATGATGAGGCCTGTGGTGGATAGGGATGGCCTGGTCCTGGAAAATAAGGACATCTAGCAGGGCTTGTCGGGTGGGGGCTGCTGGCGATGGCACAGTTTTGAAGGGAAGATGGTGCATTTGCTTTAGGATGTGCTGAGGGTGGGGGTTTGGGGGACATGCTGATGGAGACATCTAGGTGGCTGGACCATGGGGTCTGGAGTTCAGGAGTGAGGTCTGAATTGAGCCCTCGAGGGGACTCAGGGAGGGTGTAGGGGGTGAATGGAGGAGATCTGGGCCCTGACCTGCCTTGTCCTCTGCTCTGCTCGTGCCAGGCGCCTTCGCCAAGGTGAAGGAGAGCCAGCGCATGAGTGACGAGGGCCGCATGGTGCAGGAGGAAGCCGACGGCATTCGCAGGCGCTGCCGTGTGGTGGGCTTTGCCCTGCAGGCAGAAATGAACCATTTCCACCAGCGCCGTGAGCTCGACTTCAAGCACATGATGCAGAGCTACCTGCGCCAGCAGATCCTCTTCTACCAGCGGGTAGGCCAGCAGCTGGAGAAGACACTGCGTATGTACGATCACCTCTGACCACGTGCAGCCAGCCCCCACCCCGCCTCCAGGCCCGGTCGCTACAGCACACCCTGCTCTCTAGACCTCTCTGCACCAGCAGTGCCTGGGGGGCCAAGCGTGGGCGAGGTTAGCAGCTTGTCCCTTCTCCCTGAGAAGGGGCTTTGGAGGAGTCGT